AACCCATCCGGAAACAAGTGGCAACGGCTGATGCTTTATTTCAGAACACATTTCAATCCCCAGGCCACATTTTTAGTTTAATTTAGGTTACGATCTAATATGTATATTATAACGTACCCTTGTCTGATGCATGTGATACTACTTGCCCCAGATGCCTATTGAAAAATTATATGTTTTTGTGTGGCACTGTGGTAGACATGGTAATTGTTTAGATGCAAATTAGCCTTTACGTGTCGTAAATTCAATTCAAGTTAAGCTTGGTTTATTTTTATATCATAAGAATTTGGTCTTAACAATCATCATTCCTAACAAGAGTTAGTCAATGTCTACAATCATAACATTTGCCATAAACATTTGTACGGGGTCAGTGTCAATAAACTTTAACTATTTATTCAACAATGACTAAGAACTAAAAAGTAAGACAGTCTGAAATGTCATCATTAACGGCAACAAATTAATATATATATATTTTATTATGCGTGTGACGTGCGTATAAAAAGATGAATTAATTTTTTTTTTAAACTTTATAATTATTTAACTACCTAGTTAGTTAATTTTCTAATTAACTTAAGAACTAGTTTAATTTACTGTTGGAATAACTTAGTTTTTTTCAGTTGATTCAACAATATTCCATCAAGTTATAGGTAGTTCATTAAAATTTATTTAAAATGTTTAGTTTTAATAGTTGTTTTATACTTTCATTAATTATTACTTTAAACACGGTTTTAAAAAAGTATAAGCACTAACCAGATTCTTGAAATTGGAAAAAAAAGTTGAAAATTACATTATTCCATAAATGTAAAAGTGTCAGTTATTATATATTGTTGATACATATACAGACCATAGACTGTCATATTATAATATAATATAACGAAATAACGTAAATATGAAATAATGAGTACTTAATAACGAAATAATGATGATACAAGTTCAATAAAATTGTTTATTATAATTTAACAAATTAGTGAGAACACGATCACTATTTGCGTGATTCACGAAGGTACTAATTAAAACAGTAGATTAACCTTATTTCAAACTTATTTAGGATTGTATCTATACGCGTTCCCAGCAAAGTCCCGATGAAAAATCGTCGATCGCGATCCATCTATATTCGATTCGTCTCACACCGGAGTTTTGCCCGCCTCGACAATAGTAAAACTTTTCAGTGGCGGGGAAAGTACGGTGGTATTGTAGGACGACAACGAGGCAGTGTCCTGGGCGGCGTCGTCGTCGGCGGTAGCAAATCGATGTCCATCGACCCGGCACGGCGAGGCCCGACAGAACTGGCAAATTAGTTTAATAATATTATTATTCTCTCCGGTCAATTTTACCTCCTCGTCGGAGCGGTCGCGTGGCGACGTTGGCTCAGGGTTTGTTTTAGTATTTGTTTTACACGTTTTTCAACGGACAGGTCGTACTTGTGCTGGGAGCGGATGGCGAGCGGTCACGACCGGTAGGGGAGAGGTTTTTTTTTTGTTTTTTTATGACACTCTCGGGAGACGAGTTTTGCTGCCGCGACAACACTCAGCGGCGACGACGCCATGTTTTACAATTATTATTATTATCATAAACCCGAACGTTAAACTTCCCGGGACTTCCATTAACGCACAAAGCACACGCGCACAGACCGGATTCACAAACGTCGGAGCACCCGCGACCGTGGTAGTGGTAGCAGCGGCGGCGGAGGTTCGAATACGTGCGACCGTTTTTTAATGGCTAGTTTGGTTTTTTTTTTTTTTATAATAATCTTCTTGCTCTTTTTTTACGGAGTGACAAACATTCCAAACTAGCGTCAATTTGGATGTAGAAAAAAAAAGGTATAGTTCGATTTCTGAAACCATTTCGATAGACTCATGTAAGACCGTCAGTACTGTGTCTGGTAAACTCGTGGAACAAGCACAATCGTTTCAATACAATAAAATTAAATGTTTCGAAAGAAAATCGTCGTGTTTTCATGCACTCTTAAACGAAAGAGTTCGGTACACTTTAGTGTTCGCGAAAATATTCAATGTTCATTTTACAGGCTAACATATATATATATATCTTATTTTAATTCAAACACAAAATAATCATGCATAGCAGTAGTGTTTCCTTACTACCACCGAGCACCAAACTATTGCTAATGGCACTGTCACTATTTTCGATAAACTCAATATACAATTTGTTGTAATTGAACAAAATGCTTTTTGAATTTAATAACATTTTATAAACTAATAGAAAATGTATTAAATTACAGTTGATTAATGCGTAACAGCAGACGTTAATAGTTTAATTTATTTTTTGTTCCAATACAAACATAATATTATTACGATACTAATTATTATTGGTTTAATTTTTTATCAATCAGTGTTCCTATATAATTTTTCCATTTTTTATAAACGTTGCCATTTAGAGCTGTATTTTCCCACTGTAATGACATTGCTTCAATTATTCTGATGGCACGGTGCTTTAATTTATTTCATTCACAAACCATTTCTTCGTATTATATTAAATGTGTTCGATTCCGATATAAGTTTACCAAATTGTCTACACGAGAGAATATTGCGTTACGCTCGTAAACGATCCTAATGAAATTTACCCGAATTTCGAAAACGTGTTTTATTAGGAGTATAATATGGCACTTTTAAAAAACTAAGTACCCCGTATTACATTTAAATATGCAGCACGTCTTTGGCAATTTACAGTGATCGTAATCCGACTAAGTCGGAAAAGCCCTCACAACTGAATTTAAAATTTAAATATTACATGACGGCGAATTCAATACAACAGGCAATAATTATCACCATGTGACATTTTGAATGTCTCATAATTTTAGAAGTTATAATGTTTAGTTAAGCGTATAGGAAAAGGTTTTCACAATTTGTGATACAAACACAAAAATAAATACAAGAGACAAGCCACGTCTGTCACCACGTTAAATAATAATAATAATAATAATATGTGGGATCGAATTTAATTTATTTCGCAGTACGTGTCTGACAGCCGACCGTGTAGCACGTGTTTACCGTATCCCGAGCGCGCATTTTATAGCTCTCGGAACACATCACTGCTGGATACACATATACGGGTAATATAATATTGTATTATGTAACTATTACCCACCTTATCACATAATGAGCTACGTTAATAAGACGGGCATACCGTCATTACCGTCGGTCATTAAGAACCCGATATAGAATAAAATTCCAAATTTAACACTGATCACCAAACCTATAAATGCACCAAATACAAAATCCACACTACCCCGCCGTACAAATAATATTTTTATCACCACCACCTCTACCACCACCCGTCGTACATATACTAGATTTCATCTGCACTATCACCTTCGGCGACTTCTTGGACCAGTGATAGGTATCAACAACGCAGAAATACATATTAACAACACCGTACAAAACACTATCTGCAATTACGCTCACGCGGCAGCTAATGACAACTCTTTCAGTAGAGAACAGGCACTTGTTTTTAACTCAGTGGACGGTATACCTCCAAGAGACTATATTCTCGCCTTAACTAAAATAGTATCTCAAAAAAACATCGTATACGTCTCCCACATTTCGAATAATCGTTTTTCCATTTTTCTTTCAAGCAAACAAATACTAGATTCACTTTTAGAATCCACTCAGACTATAACAATTAACTATAATTTATTACAAATACGCAGACTTATAAATCCGTCAAAAAGGATAGTCATATCCAATGTCTGTCCATCCATCCCTAACCTTGTTATACTTGACGTGCTTAAAAAAATCAATATTATCCCCGTGTCAGAAATTGCCTACCTCCAAGCTGGCATCAACATTGAGGGATATGAGCACATCTTAAGCTTCAGCCGCCAGTTATTTATCAAACACGAAGATGTACCAAATCTCCCTTGATTCTTACCCCTACTTCACAATCAGACAGAATTCAGAGTTTTCTTTACCGATGACAGAATCACATGTTTTCTATGTAAATCCACCGGCCACACCTCTAACACCTGCAAGAAAATAGAAGCCGTAGCTCCAACCTCTAACAAATCTCCGAGACCCACTTCTATGGAAGAACCATCTACGAAGAAACCTCATGTGAAAGAACCTTCCACTCACTCCCTCACAAATATGGGCATCCCTGAAACAGTTATACATACCCCCACACATCCCCTCAGACAATGGAAGGGATCACAGAGGATCGTCAAACAATAACGAAAATCACAAACCAAATCACAAACCCGAGAATCATCACACATCATATAATGAATCAAAAAAAAAGACTTCTCTCTGACGCCTCATCTCTAGTAGCACCATTCTCACCACCCCCGATAAACTCATCAACTCACGAGGCCGACAACAGAAGGAGCAAGAATGTCACAAAAAAATCTAAAATAGATAGATCCAGATCTAACTCCTCGTTCAAGACTGTCGACAAAATAACCTCTGGACTCAAAAGAGCTGAAGACATATTCTCTAATAATCAATCTATCTCTCTAAGCTAATTCATATATGTATTGGAAAACTAAACTAACAAAAACTTAAGCATCCATAGTATCTGTAAAGAAATCAATTCGGATACCACATCCCTGATGCTCTTGATTAATCAAATAAAACCTAAAGTCACTGAACGTATCATTAAAGTTATAGCTCTAGACCTAGATTAATAATAGCTCTATAGCTCTCCATCACCAACGCTTCCCTATCCCATAAACTGGAATGAAACACTCTTCCCGATATTTATAGTAGCGATCATATTCCTTTCAAAATATCGATGACCCTCCTTCTCGACAGATCAGATTTAAATTACCCCTGTTATGATTATCATAGTTAGTGATAATAAATAACCTCAAATGTTATATGTATTAATGATATTGTTTCAATAAAGTTTAGTCCTTATTCTGCAACGCTTGTGTTCACATGTTCTTATAATGTATTAAGTAATACACAACATTGGCGACGAAGATGATGAAAACCACGTGCGTGTGGGCAATAAGTTAAAGTGTTAAACCAGTTACAGTTAAAGTAACAATGTTAGGGCAAGTAGAATCGTATGTGCCTGGTGATGATTTTTGTGAATACGCGGAACGTTTAGAACAATATTTTGTTTTAAATGATGTTAAAGTGGATAAAAAAGTTGCATTTTTGTTAACATTCATCGGTCAAGAAACGTATTCAATATTGAAAAAACTATTATTTCCGGGTGATCCAGTAAAGAAAACGTTCGAGCAGCTGATAGCAGTTTTGAAAAGTCATTTTACTCCTGAAGTAAATGAAATATCTGAACGTTATAAGTTTTTCAAGGAAGATCAGAAGTCGGGTCAACCGATGTCAGAATATATAGTAGAATTAAAAGCAAAAGCGCAAAAATGTAAGTTCGAAACCTTTTTGAATCAAGCGTTACGCGATCGTTTAGTATTTGGAGTATGTGATAATAAATTACGTGCCATACTGTTGAAAGAGTCAACATTGACGTTTGAATCAGCTTGTACCATAGCTATAAACTGGGAATTATCTGAAAAAGATGTAAAAGGTCAGAGTATGAATCAGTTTACAGTGCGACCAAAAAGCAGTAATTTTCATACAAACCGGTCAAAAAGTGTCGATAAAAGGGACGGCAAATGTACTAGATGTGGTGGATCACATTTTAGTAAGGAAGAGTGTCCAGTTAGAAATTGGAAGTGCAGAAATTGTGACAAAGTAGGGCATATTGCAAAGTATTGTTTCTACAGTAAAATGAATCAGAGCAAGCCCAGAGCCAGGAGTTCAAGTAGAAGCAAATTTAGTAAACAGAAGTATCGAAGTAGTGATTCGGTATCATCAGAAAAAAACAATGTACATGAGTTATCAGAAGAATTGGATCAGATGCAGTGTTATGGGGAGTCAAAAATGGAAGACAGAATAAATTCAGTGCACCAGTCAGGCAGTCCATTGCTAGTCACGGTGATAGTTCAGGATAATGAAGTAGAAATGGAAGTGGATTCGGGCGCATGTGCATCATTAATAAGTGAAGATATGTATTTAAAAATGTTTTCTTTTGTACCATTAATTGATGTTGTAGTTAAATTTGTATCAGTTACAGGAGAAAATGTTAAGTTATCGGGAAAACTGTTGGTTAACGTGAGGCTGCCCGGTGACATTGAAAGCAAAACTGTTCGTTTAGAATTATTTGTCATAAAAAGTAAAAAACCGTGTGTACCACTCTTGGGTCGAGCTTGGTTGGATAGACTATACCCAAGTTGGAGAAATGTTCTTCAGTTAAATCAAGTCTCAAAAAGTAGTAATATTTTGGATACATTAGCTGTTAAATACCCAAATATCATTCCTAAGTCATCAAATCAGGTAATAAAAAATTATAAAGCTGAAATAGTGTTAAAGGATAATGTTAAACCAATTTTCCATAAAGCTTATACAGTACCATTTAAATTGAGAGAAAAGGTAAATGTAGAAATTGATAGATTAGTGAATGAAGGTATTTTAGAACCAGTTAAATTCAGTGAATGGGCTAGTCCTATAGTAATTGTACCTAAAAGTAATGGAAGTATAAGAATATGTGTGGATTGTAAGGTGACGATTAATAAATTTATACAAACACAGCATTACCCTTTACCTAATATTGAGGATTTGTTTGCAAGTATGGCAAGTTGTGCAGTTTTTTGTGTGTTAGATTTGTCTGGAGCTTATCAACAATTAGAGTTAGCTTCAAGTTCTAAAGAATATTTGACAATAAATACTTTAAAAGGTTTATTTAGATTTACAAGATTAACATTCGGTGTAGCTAGTGCACCAGCTATATTTCAGTCTACCATGGATCAGATATTGTTGGGCTTGGAAAATGTGTTTTGTTATTTAGATGATATATTAATAGGTGAAAAAACAGTTGAAAAGTGTAGACAAAAGTTAGATTTGGTTTTAGATAGATTAAATAATTTAAATGTTTCTATTAATGTGGATAAATGTAAGTTTTTTGAAAAGGAAGTTGATTATTTAGGACATACGTTGTCAGATAAAGGTATTCGTCCACAAATAAAGAAATTGGAAGCAATTAGAGAGGCTAGGGCACCAAATAATGTGACCGAATTGCAAGCTTATTTAGGATTATTAAATTATTATGGAAAATTTATTCCTAATATCAGTAGTGAATTACATGATTTATATAAACTACTAAGGAAAGATGTTAAATTTGTGTGGAGCGATAAGTGTCAGGAAGTTTTTGAAAAGAGTAAAACTTTGTTGTTACAAAATCAAGTATTAGAAATTTATGATCAAAAAAAGCCAATAGTAGTATGTGCAGATGGTTCACCATATGGTGTTGGAGCAATTTTATCTCAAGTAGTAGATGGAGTAGAAAAACCAGTATTATTTGCATCAAGTTCATTATCTCCAGCAGAACAAAAATATTCTCAGTTACACAGAGAAGCGTTGGCAATAGTGTTTGCATTAAAAAAATTTCATAAATATATATATGGTAACAAATTCACATTATGTTCAGATGCTCAAGCGTTAAGAGAAATATTTAGTCCACAGAAAGGTACAGCAGTGGTTGCAGCGTCCAGGTTACAGAGATGGGCTGTGTTGTTATCTATGTATGAGTATGAATTTCAGTATAGGCCAAGTAAACAAATGGTTCATGTTGATGCGTTAAGTAGATTACCATTAAATACGGGTACTGAAATAGAAGATGATGTTATTAGTAGATTATGTATAACCAATGAATTTAGGTTAAGTACTGCAGATGTAGTAGAAGCGTTAAAAAAAGATAAAATAGTATTTAAAGTTTATAACTATGTATTACGAGGATGGCCTAGAAAAGTAGAAAGTGAGATTGAGTATTATTTTAAGTTAAAAGATAATTTAAGTACACAGGATGATTGCTTATTTTTTGGGGATAGGATTGTAGTTCCAGAGGTATTAAAAAAGAACATTTTGAAGATACTGCATAAAGATCATGAGGGTATAGTAAGAATGAAAATGGCAGCAAGAAGTGTATTATGGTGGAAAAATATGAATACAGATATAGAAAAATTTAGTAAAGGATGTGAAATATGTGATCAGACTTCTAATGTGAGTAAAGAGAAAGTTATATCAAAGTGGCCTATGGTAGTTAAGCCGTGGGAAAGAGTGCATGTTGATTTCTTTCATTTGGAAGGCAATACGTTTTTGGTTGTGATTGACGCATATAGCAAATATATAGTAGTGAAACTGTTAAAAAAAACAAATTGTGAATCGTTAATCAGGGTGTTGCAGGAAGTGTTTGCGTTTTTTGGGTTACCTGAAGAGATAGTATCAGACAATGGTCCTCCTTTTGGTTCATGGTTATTTAACAGCTATGGAAATCAAAGTAATATTAAAATAACAAAAACACCTCCATTTCATAGTCAGTCCAACGGCTTGGCTGAGAGAGCGGTTCAAACTGTTAAAAAGTATTTTAAAAAGTATATCTTAGATAGAGAGTTAAATAATTTGACTGTTAAGGAAAAAGTAGTACGGTTCATTACAGTATATAATACTACGCCTTCAACAGTTACAGCACAGTCACCGGCTGATCGTATGTTTTCTTATAAGTTAAGGTCTATATTGTCATCAATAAATCCAAAAAGTAAAGTTACAGTAAAAGAAAAAAAGAAATTAAGTTTTAATCTTAAAAATAATAAGTATTATGAGGATGAGAACAGTGAAAATTATTTTAAAAAAAATGAGAAAGTATTATATAGGAATCATTTTAAAGATTATTGTAAATGGTTACCAGCTACAGTAGTTAAACAGTATACCAAATATTTATTTGTAATTGACTTAAATAAGAGTACTAGAATAGTTCATAAGAACCAGTTACGGTATCCTAGAAATATTGATAAGGATCATAGTTATTATACATTACCAAAAAGTAATGAGTTACATACAGAAAGTAAAGAGAGTGTAGTTGTGCGTCGTTCGGAGAGAGACAGGAAGCCTACAAAAAGATATGGTTTTGATAATTAACTATTGCTATGTTTTTATAATATATTAATTTATTTAATTTAATTGTTTTTATTATATTATTGTATATTACTTATTTTTGTTAATATTAAGTTGTACTATTTACTATTAAATAAACTATTATTTTTTATTGTTTAATTTAAAAAAAAATAATATATTTGTATTTAAAAAGAGGATGATGTTATGATTATCATAGTTAGTGATAATAAATAACCTCAAATGTTATATGTATTAATGATATTGTTTCAATAAAGTTTAGTCCTTATTCTGCAACGCTTGTGTTCACATGTTCTTATAATGTATTAAGTAATACACAACAACCCCCACGTGGAAAATCAAAAAAGCTAACTGAGATCTATTCTCGGCGATTATGGAAGAAAATACGTCCAATTTGTATGTTTTTGCTTTGTCTCTCAGGAATTTGTTTAATTCCTGTTTACTTATGTAATATTTTTTATTTTTATTTTTTTTTTGTTTTACTTTATTTTCTCTCTTATATGATCTTATTACTTATAATATTAATACCTATATGTTCCTTTAATTGTTAGTATTATTTAATGCAGGAATATTGTAAAATGAATTGTAACGTCCAATGGCCATAGTTTCCGCGGATAGTATGTTTAATAAAAAAAAACAATTTATTTCGATGCACAAAAGGAAACCATCCTGACGTTGTTCACAGGGGAAGAGAGAAAAAATTTACAATAATTTACATTATTCAGACTTCGGTGTAATAATTTACATATTTGTCGTGTTTACGAAATATTTCCATAACGGGGGCCATATTATTTTCATTATTATTTACGTTGTGATACGGGTCCGACGCTAAAGTATAATAATATTATTATTTGCTACATAATTCAATAGTGGTTGTTAAAAATAATAAAGTAGTAGAATTCGATTTATCAGATATCAACTTAAGCTATTATATAAAGACCATTAATACTTCTGAATTAGGTAGGTACATAATTGTTGTTATTGTTCTGAGTCTGTAAGTGAGTATAAACAATGGGATAAATAAATTTCCAAAAGTCAGAAGGTTTTCTAAGACCATATCTTTTTTTTCTTTCTATAATTCCGCAAAAGAAGACAATTAATGGAATTAAAACGGGAAAAAATTGTATGCATATTCTTTGTATTCGTATTTGTGGCACGTAATGCAAATGAGCGGATAAAAACCGGGATGTTAAATTGGCTTTTCGAAAAGAATAAATTTACCAAATTGTCATTTTGATCTGTTTTAAAAAGTCATTATGCATTTTATCGTTACGTTCATTTAGCTTTCCGGCTTTTTATTATAATGAATATGAATCGATCATTGTCTCGTTTTTATTTTTTTGTTTTTTTGTAAAATAAATGTTGTTTTAACAATGAGGTTTTGTTAAAATTTATTTATATTTTTTACCTTAGATTTTCGATCGCCCACATAGTTGGATGTGTTTAATAATAATAATAATAGTAATAATAATAATATAATAACAGCGATGATACCCCTTAAAAGGCACAATGGACGCATTTGTAGACGACCCAAAGTCCGTACACTATCATCTATTATATTCAATACTGACAGCAAAAAAAAATATTTTTCATTAGGATCTAAAATGCAAAAAGTGAAAATCTCATTTGAGACCAACTCGTATGTAGCCATAATAAATATCCAAGGATATGATTTTTTTCCCGCGACGAATAAGGGAAAAAAGGGTACAGAAAACCCCGCGTCGACAAATTGATTCCCATTGTGAGATGATGTACGTATGGTCAGTAGCTACGCCTAAATAAGGGTTGAAAAGTCTGCGGTCACCAAACCCCGAGAGAAGAAATGTAGCAAAAACCTTTAATTTACTGTTGGCAAAATAATATTTGTTAGACCATACACTATACCGACACAAAATAAAACTAGATTTAGCGGGATTTACGAACTGTCAAAATGAAACAATTTATTAGCATATTTTTAAAATGAATTAGAATAAAACATTAAATGATTAGCTGCGATTCATTGTGTATTTCGTAAGATTTTGTAAGATGCTTCAAGATATCGCTATATTGTTGTATACTTGAATAATATTATGCGTTTGATATTAAACTTCAAAGACCCAATCCATGTATAATAATATTACCTCTGTTTTTAAATGATCAGTATTGTGGTGAGATCAATTACAATACTAGTCTGACACATTTTAGCAATATTGTCAACTAATTTTATACTTATAATTAATTTTCATCATTGCTGACTACAAAAAAAAATAACAGAAACTTGTATTGTACAAAAAATAAACGTGAATAATATTATTATTGTTATCATAATGCCTTTTAAAATTAGAATTCACTAAATAAAAATTATTATCTTAACTTTTATAACAGCAATAGAAGTTGTACAATACAACTTGTATTCATATTTTATCAGTATCGAAGGAAATAATAACTTTTAAGAAATTCAATGTATTTCCGATTACTTTATTTTATATTATTTTGTGTTTATAGATTTTACTTCAAGCTACCAAAAATATCAAATTTAAGTTGCGTTCTATATTATTTAATTACAAAATATGTGATTTTCATGTTCTTTCGTACCTGTTATAGAATATTTACTTAAACAAAATGTCACAGATTAAATCTTATATTATATTGATTAATATTTAAATAATGTTACTAATACTTAATTCCAGTTGAGTAATCGATTTAGTTCAAAATATGTAGTTACAGTTTTTTTTAAATTATCAAAAAAAAAAAAAACGAAGCTACACAGATGACGAACAAGAATATAATAATATATTGTATGAATGGTTGGTTTGTACAAATTACATTTGTTTGCTCATCATATCGTCGACTAAAGTATTACATTGTAGTAATGAACAAGCTGTTTTAGAGGTGGAACAGATATCCGTAATAGAGACGACTAGTCGTTAACGAAGATAAATATAAATAAAATAAAAATTAATAATGTTTAAACAAATATAATATGCGTGCCGGACGCCGGCCTATACGCTGTATACTATTGTAGGTACCTACCGCACTGCGATTTATTACTTTTATAACTTGCAAGGTTTGTTTATGAGTTAAAAGAGTAAAGTAGTAGCATTTCTGATTCTGGGTCATAAAGACGTTTTCAACTTTTCAAATCGAGAACTTTTCAGCAGTAATTTATTTTCAACGTGAATAATTTATTTACGGTAAGCACCGCTTTTATAGCCATCCCGACCAGCGGCGTGTTAGCGTTTCGCCAAGATGAAGATTTTCACATTATTTTCGTGTACCGTAGTTTCCCCCTCCCCTTTCGAAAATAAACCCTAAATACTTACACAGCCCGTTTTTAACCACGTCGGACTAACAGACAAACAAAACTATGAAACATTCGGATTCACGTCCATATTATAATAATATTTATTTTATGAGTATATCAATTCGTCATTATTATATTATGCACTTTGCAATGTTACTATAATCCAGTGTGATCCTATTAGGAAGTTACCTAATGTATATAACATTGTCTACTTTTGTATTTTTGAAGAAAAAAAAATGTTTTATATTGTTTGAAGAACATAATGTTATAAACCTTTTCACCAAATAATTTGTAAAATGTTTACACTTTTCTATCGTATAGTGGTTTGCAATGTTTTTAATTTCATGTTTGGAATCAGAATAATTTTCGAAAAATGTTGATAAAATAATATATAAATATTATCATATATTATATCGAATAAGTACTAAATATTTATTTTTTCAATGCCGACCATTTTAAATTAAGTTATGAAAGCGTTTTAAAACTGTGGAATACCAAACGACGGCAAGGGCCAAGGGGTATACCTATACTCCGCAAAAGTTGTCATACACTACACTCAGTGGGTCCGTCTTTTTCGAAAGCACAACTTACAATAATTAATTTGGAAAATGAGACAGTTGGTTGAATAGATCGCCCCCTACCCTTGATATTCCCTTCCCACGCACAATATTTAATTACGACGCTTGTAGTTATTTGACTTCCAAGACAGAGGATCTCCACACATATTATATTTATCCAACGCAAATATAATACTTGGTGCCCGTCTGTTGCAGTTTATAGTGCGGTGCACATATTGTTCGATGTTAGCTCTGCAAAGATCCAATATATTATTCATGTAAATGTACGCGAGCGGAATACGCAGATATCCATAAACGTATGTGGGGGCGTGCTTGGAGGTCGGGAAAAATATACATATATGTGAATATTGTACTTCTTGCAGGCCGACACGCCTTGGGTATAGAGAACCGATATGGAAAAAAAATTGGGTTAGCGATCTACGCCTGCGTGATCACTGCGTTGGATTTTAATTTAATCGAATTCGTGTCCGTTGAATAGCGGACATTGATACCTACCTAGGGCATTTGCAACGAGAAAAAATTTAAAAGCTTTTTTGATTAGTCATCTATTTATTTTTAATATAAATCGATGTTGCTGGAAGTAAAAAGTTCTAGTAATACTTAGGTATATATATTGTGACCTTACAATTTTATATTATTCATAATTAAAAAATTAATTTTGCATACTTGTACTAATAAATTAGAAATGTATTTAACTAAACGCCGATCATTTCATACAAGACAGCTGTATATATCACTAGACATTTATACAGCCAAAATAATAATAGTGAAAACTATCAAATTCTATGTGGTCGAATATTATAATAATATTTTACAATCTCATAGGTTAGCTTAATTTTTAAATTGAGAACAATTGCGACGTTTATGACGCATTATTAAATTGTAAAATGTAATAGTATATTTTTTTCTGCTGGCTATTACAAATAATATGTTGTTTATATTTCACAATTTTCAACCCCATACAGACCAAAGTGGGCCAAGTCGTTTCTAAACTTGCTGTACGTTCACACGAGCTATAGTATAGAAAGTAAACCGCGAGACAACGATGACAAACAAATAAAACATCGTATCTCATCGGCCCAGAAAACTTCAACTTATTTATACGGATCTATAATAATACTCCGTGAAGTTCATAATTTAATATA